GCTGTGCATAGGGTGCCATATCAATGGCACTTAACAACAACAACAACAGGGGGAGGGTACCTACATGATCAGCCTCCAGGACAAATCTTGGTTTCTGAGTCACTAATGGACTTCCCTAGAAAGAAACATTACCCAGTTGTTGCATTTTCACAACTAGAGAAAGAGGCATGTTTGATTACCCCAAGGAGAGCATTGGAAACTTGTGCATCAATTTTTTTAGATTCTACCTGTAGCTTTTCCCATTATGATCTAGCTATTTATCCTTACCAACTGACTGTAATAAATCTTAACTATAAGTATTACTATATTCTGAGTCCTGTGAATCCTTCTTGAGAAGCATTAAATACACAGGTTTTCTTGTTAGGTGGCATCAAGCCATCTCTGACTCATAGTGACCATATGCACAACAGAATGAAACACTGTCCAGTCCTGTGCCTTCCTCACAATCTTTGTTATGCTTGAGCCCGTCATTACAGTCACTGTGTCAATTCATTTTATTGAGGGTTTCCGCCTTTTATTTGGTCCTCTATTAACCATGATATCCTTCTCCAGGGACTTGTCCCTCTTGATAACATGACCAAACTATGTGAAACGAAGCCTGGCCATTCTCGCTTCTAAGGAGAGTTTGTGCTGTACTTCTTCCAAGACAGATTAGTTTGTTCTGCTGTCAGTCCATGGTATTTTCAATATTCTTTGCCAACACCACAATTCAAATGCTTCAATTCTTCAGTTTTCCTTACTCACTGTCCAGATTTCACATGCATATGAAGCTATTGAAAACACCATGACTTGTGGTAGGAGCACTTTACTTTTCAAAGTAACATCTTTGAAAGGATTATGCATTTTAGGTTATGTGTTTATCTCAATGTACTATGGGTATTGAATGTTCTCTTACCTAGTTGTACATTAGAAATGTTTATGGGGTATGGATAATGGAGAGTGTGTAAGTCCACCTTCAGCTGATACTTGATGGATATGTTAAAAAGGGAAGTAGAATTTTCCCAGAAGAAACACTGGCTTTTGTTTCAAACCCTGTGGGTAGATTATAAGGGTTTAGGTAGAAAACCTGAGCCCCACTCAGAACCTGAGTGAGGACATTTGCATTTGAAAAGACCCAACCAGAACTACTGAGTAAAAAGAAAATCTGCATTTGAAGACAGGACCTACAGAGGAAAAAAAAGACTGTTTGGCTTTTTGAATTTCAAGCATGCAGTTAAGTTTTGGGTACATCAAGGCAGGAAAGTCCTGGTCCATGAGAGAAATCCTTTCCAGGACTGAAAGTTAAAGGAAGCCAGTGAGTAGTAGGCTTGTATGCTGCTCACTTGTGACCACCTGGGTCAACCTGAGTGGAAATGGGGGAAGAGCAGCAATGAAGAAACAGGCTGAGTTTGGTACTCTTTGAACTAGGCCACAGAGGCTGGGGATGAGAGGAAAGCCTGGCTGGTCTGAAATGCAAGGAGTTGTGAGCCTACGGGCATTGAAATAGTCCCTGAGGACTGAGGATATAAGAGAAGGTGCTGGCTGGTCTGAAGTGAAAAGATTGTGACTGCCAAACTTGGGAGCTGGTACCCATGACCTAGCTGGGATGGTTAGGGCTGAGCTGACCAGAACATGACCAAACAAAGAGGAAGATGTTTGACACTGAGCTGGTGTTAAGATGCTGTAGTTTGATGGCTTGTGCTAGGCTGGACTTTTGCAAAGTTTCCAAGCAGAATAGAAGATTCTTCAATGAGAAAGGAACATGCTTGTCTCCTCACAGTGCTGGTTTGATAGGGATGGGCAAATTAGAAACTGGCTATCCAAAATGGGGGAAGATAAAGGCATGATGTGGCTAGCTTACATGCTTTCATGGGTGTGATTATTGTTAAACTGATGTGAAGGGGATGTTAATTTTTGAAGTATAAAAGGGATAATGGCTAGAAAAGCTAGGGGGTGGCCTATGGTGTAGTAAATTGCATAGTGTGGCTTTTCTAGCCATCAGTGTTTGTAAACTCCATGGTGAAATTTGCCATGAGCAACTAAGTAGCTCCTGATTGTTAAAGTTATCCACCTGGGGTATTTCTGTTGTGAGTGGCATGAAGCAATCTTCTGGATGTTCACTCTCTCTGAGGTATATAGAATTCTGATGTTGGGATTTGTTTGCTTGGCCATTTTGCCAGGCTCAAAAGGAGCCCTCCTAGAGGCAGAAGGCGTCTGTCTGACTGTTGGCCGAGAAAGACGTGCTGCTGAGAAAAATGTGCTCCTGAGAGACATGCACTGCTGAGAGAGAGACTGCTGACTGCTAAGTGAGACGGCTGGCTGTGAGAGGCTGAGTGCATTTCTGAACTTGAATTGTAGCCTGTTGCTTCCCTAATGAACCCCATAATCTGTGAGTTCTGTGTGGCCACTGCTGTGAATTATCAAACCCAGCAGAGAGGTGGTGGGTGCTATGGGAGGAACAGTTGGTACCAGGGTTGGCGAAAGGGCTGGAGGGAGGTAGCATTTCTGGCCTCACAGGAATAGGCCTTGGGCTACTGATTCTGTCTTCCTCTTGTGAGGTTAGAGGAGGTCAGAGGATATGGCCTCCCTGCCCCTTCGGCTCACTAGGATTACACTAGATACAGAAGTCTCACCAAAGGCAGTAGCTGGAACAAGTTACACTACAAGATTCAAAAGTGATATGGTCAGAATATAATAGGTTAAAATTATCATGGTAGGAATGAAAAAAAATATAATAAAACAACAGTGGATTTAATATATATGAAAGGAAAATAATTATCACAAATCAGGTATCTACAAGAATGTTGCTGTTGTTGTTATATGCCATCGAGTTGGACCCGACTCATAGTGACCCCTCCTTGGGTTTCCCAGGCAGTATCACTATGGAAGTAGATCGCCCCATCTTCCTTCCAAGGAGTGGCTGATGGGTTTGAACTGCCAGCCTTCTGGTTAGCAGTCAAGTGCCTTAGGCACTATGCTACCAGAGCTCTCATCTACAAGAATACATATTAACTAATTAATTATTTTAATTAAATTAATATTTATTTAGCAATTACTTGTTAGTGCGCAGATGGCTTACTCTCTTATTTAGTAGCAGAATATCATAGGATATGAAACAAACAAACAAACCTGATGCCATCAGGCCAATTCCAATTCATGGCAACCCCATGAGTTAGAGAATAGAACTGAGCTCCATAGAGTTTTTCTTGATTGTAATCTTTATGGATTACAGATTGAATATAGATTGCTAGGCCTATTTTTGACAAGGTTATGGGGTTTAGGTTTGAACCACCAATCTCTTGGTAGCCAAAAGCAAACCACTTGTTTGTGCTACCGAAGGTCCACCACAGAATAATATAAACTTTAAATTCAGACTGTGAGAGGCTGGGCAGTTAACATTGATGCATAAAACAGGCCATGAATAATATCCTAACCATTTAGCTGTTCTAACACCTTCTAGTTACTGCCTTTAAACTCCAAGGAAAGCATAGTATAAAGTGAAACATGGTGGTGGCTACTTTTGACAAATGTGTTTTCAATCCCTGTAGTAATTAAGTAAAGAGCCCTGGTGGCACAAAGGTTAAGCACTGAATTGCTAAGTGAAAGGTTGGCAGTTTGAACTCACCCAGCAACTCCATGGGAGAAGACCTTGTGGTTTGCTTTTGTAAAGAGTGTGGTTGTTGTTATTGTTTTGTACCATCAAGTTGATTCAGGACAGTCCTTTGTGCTAAGGTTCCTATGAGCTGTAAAGATTACAGCCTAGAAAATCCTACAGGGCAGTTCTATTCTGTCATATAGGGCCATTATGTGTTCAGAATGCTCGATGGCACACAACAACAACCACAGCAACATACAGCATTATATTTAGGAGCACACATTTGCTTTTGAGTCAGATTTACATTGCTTCAAATTTCCACTTAACACTATTGTGTGATCTCGGAGAAGTTACTTGGGTTCTATAAAGTTTCATTTTCTCATCCATGAAATAATGTTAACAGCACCCATTTGATAAGGTTATAAAGATAATATATGCAAAGTGCTTGTTGTTGTTGTTATTGTTATGTGCCGTCGAGTCGGCCCCGACTCATAGCGACCCCTCCTTGGGTTTCCGAGGCAGTATCACTATGGAAGTAGGATTGCCCAACTTTCTTTCCGAGGAGTGGCTGGTGGGTTTGAACCGCCAGCC